CGCCCGGGGGGGTCCCCCCGGGCTGTGCCCCGGGGGCGGGTGTGTGCCCTCCCTCGTTCTTGGAGTCGGGGCGGGGGCAGGGACACGTCAGCTGTTGTCACCCCGAGCACAAGAAAGGGGACACGAGAGGGTTGGAAGCCCCAGACGCTGGCGAGCGAGCGACAGGCGGAAGTTAGAGGGACTGGGGATGGAGATGAGGTCAGGAGATAATTGGCAGTTTAAGTGGAGGAGTCTCGTGGAGCCAGAAGCGAGGATTGGCTGCCTGAAGAACTGGTGAGTGAAGCACCAGGCGGCCATTGGCTGCCCGAGCAAACGTGCTACCCCGCTGAATAACTGAAAACAAACCGTCACGTGCGCGCAAGAGGCTGTTGCCAGGGGACAGACTTCTCCACACTTCCTTCTGCTGATAGTGAGTGCTTTGTGGCTAGCAGCCAAGCCCTCTGGAACTCCGTGGCCCAGTAGACTTGGGACAGGAGTAAAGCAGGAACCTTTGGGCCCAAGCATACCTACCTATGGTGTCACCTCTCACGTCCAGTGAAACTTGTGACAATGCTAGTCTTTTTTTTTTTTTCTTTTTTTCAATCATTTTGCTGGTTTTACAAAAACAAAACAAAACAAAAAACCAGTCGAATGGTCACAGTCCAGTAGAACCCTGCATATCCCTCAATGCACAGCATTTATTCAAAAAACATGTCAGGTGTCCCCCACCACCAACCCCACAGCCTTGCTTGTGTTTGGCCTATGTAGGTGGGCAGTCTAAGCGCTGTTGCATCTTTCCTCCAGTCTGGTGAGGTGTGGGCACAGGACAGCAGGAGCTGCTTTGAAGCCAGCTTTTATTGACTGACTGCATAGGCTTTATATGCTGGGCTTGGATGTTGTGCTGTAACTGAGTCATGGGTTAAATGTAATACGCAGCGTACCTGCTGTTGATTCCCAAGGCTGCTCTCAGGCCCACCTGCAGTAAGTATTATGGGGTTCAGCTTTGTGGCAGTTGTGTGCTTCTGCCGGGAGGGTTGATGTAGCCATTGGAAGAAAGTTGTCCCCTCTGTTTTCAAAGCACTCTACCACTTTATGAACACTGTTTATTTGGGGCTGGGAATGGCCTCACACACATTAGGCAAATCATTTGCCACTGAGCTATTACCCCAGCACTTCAGAGTTCTTTGGGGAACAAGATGTGGATTTGAAATCTGGAACATCAAGCTTGTAATGGAAGTTTTGAGGAGTACCTGAGGTGGTTCCTCTCCTTATCGGAAGGTGTGGTTGGAGCTGCATTTCTCACCACTGACAAGTCCGAATGGCAGCCTAAGGTCTTGAATTTAGCTGCAGCTCACATGTGCCTTGTGTCCCATGGGGGCTCTCCTTGTACTGCAGGCAGCCCCTTCCTGGTTTTGGCTCTTTTGGTCTATTCTGGAATGCCTGGCTTGTGGCTGTCCGAATGTTTAGGGGTCTGGGTCTGTGACAGCTCCTAACTCAGAACACATGAGCCTCTTTCTTCTCTGCCTCCACTTTACTTACATAACCCTCATTTCACACATGAGGGAACAAACAGGAGGCACAGCCACCGAGGGCAGCCTGGGACTGACAGCAGAGCTCCCTTCCTGGGGCCCTGCCCTGCCCTCCCCACAGTATTGGACTTGTCCCACTGGGGTCTGATCAAGACTGAGAGGAAGCCATACGAGATAGCCCTGCCACAGCCTTTTCCACAGGGTATACGCACAACAGCACTCTGTGCTACAGGTGATAAACTGCCTAGGAAAGTAATCGGTTTAGATCCTATTAATAATGACCACACAGGGCTAATGTTAGCCAGTGTTTTCTAATCCTGTTTTGTTTTTCTTCAAATAGCTGTTGTCGGCCTACTGTACCCCTGTATTGACAGTCACCTGGGAGAACCACACAAGTTCAAGAGAGAGTGGGCCAGCGTCATGCGCTGTATTGCGGTGTTCGTTGGCATCAACCACGCCAGTGCCGTATCCTCAGTTGGTGTCCAGTTTATCATCTGGGTTGTGGCAGGGCAGATGTTACTGTGACCAAATGTTGCCTCATCCCTGTACCTTAGAGAAATTCTGGGATCCAGTTCCAGTTTCTAGGGTCTTTTACTCATCTTGGGACACTTAGGCTAACACAAGAAGCAGATGGACTCTCAAAGGACTTTCCATCCTCCCTCTTAGTTTCTCCCCCACTGACCTGCCTGTTCCAATGAAAGAGAATTAGTGAGAGCTTGCTCCTCTTGTCCGTCATAGAAGTCAAGGCGGGTCAGGCGGCCCCTGGGCCTCTCGTGTCCAAAGCTGACACACTGCCTTCAGTGCGCTGTGCTTTTGTGCAGTCTGCATTTTCTGTGAAAATGGTTTGATTTGATGGTAAACCCTTCAAATACTAAGTTTCTAAGGAGACTTGAAGTAAAAGATAATTGTCAAGTTGCAGTCCCACTTTGGGGGCTGTTTCTTTATCAAACGACTCACAGGTTAGCTCTGATAGTGCTGATTGACAAGCACTGAATTGACTGACTGACTTCTGCCTGGGGTGGCACAGAGACAGGGGTGGGGCCTGCTTGTTTCCACTCACTGAAAAGTAAGCGGGGGAGTGGGAACAGTATCTTAGCAAAACTTCATTGCTTATGGCCAAATGCCAGCAGTCTCACAGCTTTCAAAAAGTTTACAACTGAAAGCCAGACCCCTGGGGGTGGGGGAGGGGCCTCAGGTGTGTCCCTGTGCTGTCGTCATAAGCAGTAAGTTGCTGTGTGACACTGTGTACCACCTGTGAGTAATTCTGGGGTTAGTTTTTTTCTTATGATAAATTAGGAAACTTTTCCTTAACTTTGGGATCTCTAGAAATTGGATTTTGCCAACAATGTCCAGCTGTCCTTGACTTTAGCAGCCCTGTCTTTGGGCTTGTGGTGGACATTCGATCGCTCCCGAAGCGGCCTTGGACTTGGGATCACCATCGCCTTCCTAGCTACGCTGATCACTCAGTTTCTTGTGTATAATGGTGTCTACCAGTAAGTATGTGTTTCAGATGCTTTGCTTTCGTAACAACACCTACCGTTAAGTGTGATGCTTTATATATTATTTACCTTTTTGTGCAAAATAACAAGAAAATCTCAAAATGCTTTTCTCAGTGTATATTAAGAACTCACTATCCATAACTCAGTTAGCTAAGACTGTCTTGTTTTCTCTCTAGGTACACATCCCCAGATTTCCTTTATATTCGTTCTTGGCTCCCATGTATATTTTTCTCAGGAGGCGTCACAGTGGGAAACATAGGACGACAGTTAGCTATGGTAAGTGCAGCCATCAGTGTCCTCTGGGCACTTGAGACTTGTTAACTTGACAAATATATTTGGTGTTAATGTATGTCTCATTCAGATTCCTTAGCAACAGTTGGTGAGAACAGTCAATGTTAAATATAAAGTGATACATAGCTGGATCTTCCGAAGTTATGATGTATATATTCTTTACATGGTTCATGCTGAAAAGCAAGCAGATGCTTGCTTTCAGGGTGGCTGTGTGCATTGCAGCTGTGTCCTGTGGTTTCTCTGAGTTCATATAACCACTAGGCAGCCACTTTCATTGTCAGTTGCCCTCTAGCATCTGTTAGCAAAATCAGTGGGTACAGATGATGCTGGGGTGGTGTTCCTTGCCTATGGACAAACCAGAGGACAGTTTGGGTCAGCAAACACTCCCTACCAAAAGGCACCTGAGCCCAGGCACAGGGAGGAATCATCCAGAGGGCTCTGGGGCATGACTTGACCACTGTGCAAAGAGGCTGCCTGGTCAGAGTACTAGGTCTTTTCTCCCTGGGTGGGAGAGAGCAGTGCTACCCCATGACATCTAGGGTCACTTCTGAGGCAGCTGGGCAGCTGAGTTCAGAACCTTGAAGCAGGTCTCTTCATCAGGCAGCAATTGCCACTTGAACACTTTGATTTTAAAGATAATGTGGACGTTATTTCAAGATGTCTTTGGCCCATGGGCTCAATCAAGTAAAGTGAACTTTACTGAAGGGCGACTAGGAAAGAGCCACTTTACACAGAGATGAACTCTGGGGCTTCCTCTGAGCACTTATCTCAGTATTGCAGGCTATTTTTAAACAGTCATCTGACACCCACTCATGAGAAGCTGAATTTGAAGGCTACTTGGATATCTCACAAAAATACAAGTCACTTCTAAAGGCTAGAACTAAAGGCGTCTTTCTCTTCTGTCCCTGCTGATCCTCTGCAGGTCACAGCCTGTCAGAAACAACTGTCTGTTGTCCCTGATGGAGAGTTAGAAAGCTTTTCTCAGCGTTAAAACACTTGTCAGAAGTTGGGCATGGTGTAGAACACACCTGTAATCCCAGCACCCGGGAGGGTGAGGCAGGTGGGTCTTGAGTTGAGGCTAGCTTGGGTTACATATAAAACAAAAAAACTAACACCCCGCCCTCAAAAAA